GTGAACCATCATTGGCACTGACGTTCTTGTTGAGCATTGTCGTCGTAAACTTTATGCAACTTTTCACAAGCTTGACGCACGTTCTTCCCTTTATGGAAGTAAAGCAGTATAATATGGCAAAAATGCACACTTTGGTCTTCCATTTTCAATTTGTTGTAAAACCTCCAAAACTCAATCAAATCACTCAATTTTTTTTAGAATGAAGCTAAAATTGTCAAATGACATAGCAATAACATAGATGCGAATGACTCTAGTACTTCCAAAAATGAACTAGTGCCATCTGTCACAAACATGCGTCATGACTTTTCCGACAACCCAATAATACATTCTTCCAAATTTAAAATTTCTTCTTATTAAAGAAAATAAATATACAAACCTACAGAATGGGGAAAATATTTATAATACATATACATTACATATCCAAATATATATAGAACTTTTATATATTAACAATAAAATATAAACAACTCAATTTTTTAAAAGGGCAAAAATCTTGAACAAACTTTTCACAAAAGAAGATACATGAATGGACAATATGTACATGAAAATGTGCTCAACATCACTAGCTATCAGGGAAATGCAAATTAAAACTACAATGAAATATCATTTCACACTCACTAGAAGACCAAATGGTGGCAAGAATGTGGAGCAACTGGAAGTGTCACATTGCTGATAAAAATGTAAAATGGTTCAAAGATTTTGGAGAATTGTTGAGGAAGGTAATTTTTGTTTGTTTTGTGACTATATATATATATATATATATATATATATATATATATATATCTTGTGACCCAGATGAAAATATATGTCCACAAAAAGATCAATACATGAATGTTGATAACAGCTCCAAACTGGAAATAACCTAATGTTCATGTTCATGAAGAGAAGTCTGGATAAATAAATTGTCATATAGTCTTACAATAGAATAGTACTCAGCAATAAAAGAACAGACAACAACATGGCTGAATCTCAAAACCATTATGTTACATAAATGAAGCCTGATATGAAACAGGGTATACTAAGTAATCCCATTTATGTGAAGTTCTAGAATAGGCAAATTAATCTTCGGTAAAAGAAATGAGAACGTGGTTACCTGTGCAAGGAGAATGGCACTGAATTGGAAAGGGGCCCAAGAGAATTTTGTGAGGTAATGGAACTAGTCTATATTTTCTTTTAGATGATGGCTATAAGGATTTATGCACTTGCCAAAACTCATGAAGCTAAACACTTAAGATCTGTCATTTTTGTTTTATGTAAATTATTCCTTAATTTAAAAATAAAAGCAAGAGTATTTGATGGGCTCTTTTCAGTGGGGTTCTCTCTGTACAGATCAGAGTGGGGATTCATACTGGACCAGTCTTGGCAGGTGTTGTGGGGGACAAAATGCCCCGATACTGCTTATTTGGTGACACTGTGAACACAGCTTCTAGGATGGAAAGTCATGGGCTTCCTGAGAAAGTGCACCTGAGCCCCACAGCCTACAGGTAACCATTCATGTCTTCATGCCTTTCTTTGTCTCTTCTCCTTCCAGAATTTACAGAGGGCCTAGCTGCCATGGGAGGAGGTAGTGTAGGAAACCCATGTTTTTTCTCCCATGTCACACTAGCTTAGAGAAGGCATGGTGTCAGACAATAAACATTGTTGAATCTCTACTATAAGATAGTTTTTGCCCTCAAGGAGCACAGGGTCTAAGCACAGGGATCNCGCCACTCGGCCGGCCCAAAACAGGCTGTTTTTATGGAAAAGCCACTGGAAGTGGCTTGGGTGGGCTGGCAAGTTGGGTGAGGTGGGGAATCACCAGGGCAGTGTGAACGGTGTTAGTCACGGTTGATGGCGACTCAGATATGGTGCCCACCTGCACGTGCAAGCTAGGTGGTGGAAAAGTTCAACGAAAAAACAATGGCTTCTACCAGCATTTCTGTCTGGGAGAAAGCTGCCCCTCCAGCCCTCATCCCAAAGCCAGACAACTCAGTTCCTCCCTGTATGTCCCTGGCACCTTTCGAGCTGCTTCCCCAGTGCTGGAGCTCAAAGCAAGTGAGTCCATCAGTGAGTACATCCATGGGTGGGTCCTTTAAGAGGAATGCCTGTGACCCCAGCTACTCTCTGGATCACTCAGCCACAATCCCTACTGGTTTTCACATATTCAGATGTTATAGTGACTTCTCTTCCAAGCGCTGAACCCAGGGCTAGGAGGCCTGGTGTGGGGCTCCTCAAAGGATATTTCTGCAGCCAACATATCCCTCTTCCTGATTTTTAACCACCACAGGTTGGTGTGGGACCTGCCTAATCTGCATCTCCACCCCTCTTACTAGTCTGAATGTGGCTTCTTCTGTATATCCTTAGTTATAGGACTTCCGTTCAGCTAGACTTCAGTTAATTCTCAATGATAGTTATTCTGTAGGATAGTTATAATATTGAGGTAGTCATGGGAGGAGATGAGTGTAGCATTTACCTACTCCACCCTTTTGACTGGAAGCCTAAGGCCAACTAACTTTTGACCAAGCATTTACCTACTCCACCCTTTTGACTGGAAGCCTAAGGCCAACTAACTTTTGACCAAGACATCAAATTAATTCAGTGTAGGAAGGAAACTCATGTTGAGAATTTTGTTTCAATTGAATTTCCTTGTAGAAAGAAAAAGTTACCTCAATCCTACTTTACTGTATATATAAAAATTAATTTAATATATATCAAAGACCTAACATAAATGTTAGAATTATATACCTTCTTGAAAAGAAATATAGGAGAATAGCTTCCTTACTTTGGAGTAAGAAATGACTTCTTATTTATTTATTTTTTTAAATTGGGGAATTGGAGGAGGGGAACAGTGTTGGGGAATTGGGGAGGGGACCAGCCAAGTTGTTGTTCTTAATCTTAGTTGTGGAGGGTGCCAGTCGCCATCTGGCTGCCAGTCCACAGCTCGTGGTCTCTAAGCTCAAGGTGCTGTGTTACTGTCTTAGTTGTGGGTGGGCGTAGCCACCATTGCCATGTGGGAGTTGAATCAGCAGCCTTGTTGTTAAGAGCACACACTCTATCCACTGAGTCATTCGGGTGACAGCTCAGCTCAAGGTGCTGAGTTCAGTCTTAGTTGTAAGCGGGCATAGCCCACCATTGTACAGGCACTCTTGTTGTTAGGAGCATGTGCTCTCACCAGCTGAGCCATCCTGCCACCTGTTGGCAGCTCAGCTTGGGTGCAGCATCACTGGCCCATGTGGGAATCGAACCGGCATCCCTGTTGCTCAGAGCTCATGCTCTTAGGCTAACTCTTAACCAACTGAGCCACTCGGCTGGCCCAAACAATGACTTCTTAGATAGAACACAAAAAGCACTAACAGTGAAAAAACAAAAAAAAGATAAAATTCATTGTTATGGGTCAATTGTGCCCCCCTGAAATTCACATGTTGATGATTTCTCCCCTAGTACCTCAGAATGTGACTATATTTGGAGGTAGGGCCTTTAAAGGGTGTAATTAAGTTAAAATGAGTCTATCAAGGTGGGTTTTAATTCAATTTGTACAGTATTTTTATAAGAAGAGGAAATTTGTATATACAAGGAAATACCAGGGATGCACACACATAGGGAAAAGACCATGTAAGGAAACAGTGGGAAGGTAACCATTTGCAAGGTGAAGAGAGAGGCTGCAGAAAAACCAAACCTGCTGACACCTTGACCTTGGACTTCCAGTCTCTAGAACTGTGAGAAGGTAAATTTCTGTTGTTTAAGCCACTCAGTTTACAGTATTTTGTTATGGCAGCCCTAGCAAACTATTGGGTTGTCAGAATAGTCATGACGTATTTTGTCTATGTTTTTCAAAGGTCATTTATTTATATAAAGAACAAAGATCAATCAATGACATATTGCCCGTTTTGTTCGATAAGCTTCATAATTCCTNTCAGGCTTCCACTTGTTTTGCTCTCTTCAAAACTCCTTGCGTGGTATAAAGTTCAATTCAGACAAGGTTGTAAATCAGCACCTTGTTCAGTTTTATGCCAATAAAGACAGGTCCTTCTATGAATGAGGAATTATGAAGCTCACTGAAAGATGGCGAAAGGTTATTGAACAAAATGGACAATGTATCATTGATTGAGCTTTGTTTTTTATGTAAATCAATGACCTTTGAAAAACATAGACATAATGTGTCATGAGTTTTCCGACAACCCAATACTTCAATCTGTACTGTATTTTCACACACAATATGAAACATACAATTAAACAATTTAAAATATGAGATGCAACAAAAAACAAAAAAAAATGGTGGGGTGGTGTATAGCCAAGAGAGGAAATAGTCAATAGAAGCAGGTCCAGAGATGGCCTAGATGTTGGAATTATCAGACAGTGTCTTTAAAATGACTGTGATAAATGTTTTAAAGGATCTAATGGAAAAAGGGGAACAAGTTTGAACAGATGGGAAATACACACACACTATATTTCTGTCTATTCATTTATGTATGTATGTATGTATGTATGTATGTATGTATGTATGTATCTATCTATCTATCTATCTATCTATCTATCTATCATCTACCATCTGTTCTTTTTTCTGTCTGTCTGCCTGTCTATTTATCTGTGTATCCCATGGAAATGAAAACCATGATATCAGTAATAAAAAAATTCATTTGATGGGCTTAAAAGAGACTAGACACAGTAGTGGGAAGGATTAGTGATTTTGAAGGCAGAGAAATAGAAATTATCCAAACTGAAACACAAAGAAGAAAACGGGAAAAATCGAAGCAGAGAATTCTAGATCTGTAGGATAATATCAAATAGACTACTATATGTAGAACTGGAATCCTAGGAGATAAAGTGAGAATGCTTCAGAAGAAATATTTGAAAAGACAATATTTGAAAATTTTCAACATTGATAAAGGATATCAACCCACAAATCTAAGAGCTTAGCAAATTAAAACATGATAAGTACAATATATACAACATATAGTGAAATATATCAAAAGATCTACCCAGTACAATAAGGCAAGAAAATGAATTATAATATATAAAGATTGAAAAAGGAGAAGTCAAATTATCATTACTCACAGATCAAATAATGGTGTACCTAATAAACCTTAGGCTGTGGTAAACTACTAGATCTAATAAATGAGTTTACCAAAGTCACAGGATATAAGGACAATACATAAAATTAGTTGAAGTTTTATATTCTGAGGGCAAAAACTTGGAAAATGAAATAAAAACAAACTTTAAATATAGTCTTAAATCTTACAAAATAATAAAATTGAAGGACTTATACTACCTAATTTCTTAAGACTTATTCTAAAGCTATGGTAATTAAAACAGTGTAAAATTGGCAGAAGGATTGATAAATAAATCATTAGAACTGTATTGTGTGTTCAGCAGTATAGAGTGCATATATTTAAGGCCAGCTAATTTTATAAATGATTTTTTTCAATTCCAGTTTACATACACTATTAAATTAGCTTCAGGTGTACAACATAGTGATTAGACATTTATATAACTTATGAAGTGATCACCTCAATAAATCTAGTACCTATCTGACACCATACAGTTATTACAATATTATTGACTATATTCCCTATTCTATCCTTTACATACCCATGACTATTTGGTAACTGCCAATTTGTATTTCTTATCCCTTCACCTTTCCACCCATTCCTCAATACCCTCCCATGTGGCAACCATCAAAATGTTCTCTGTATATATGAGTTTGTTTCTGTTTTATTTGCTCATTTATTGTTTTTTTTTCAATTCCACATACAAGTGAAATCATATGGTATTTGCCTTTCTCTGTCTGACTTATTTCACTCAGCATAATAGCCTCTAGGTCCATCCATGTTGTTGCAGATGGCAAGATTTCATTTTTTTAATGGCTAAGTAATGTTCCATTGTATATATGTACTACTTTTTCTTTATCCGCTCATCTGGTGAGGAACACTTAGGTTGCTTCCATATCTTGCCTATTGTAAATAGTGCTGCAATGAACAAATAGATGCATATGTCTTTTCAATTTAGTGTTTTGGTTTTCTTCAGATAAATATCCAGAAGTGGAATTACTGAGTCCTTTGTCTCTTGGTATAGCTTTTGTTTTAAAGTCTATTTTGTCTGGAATAAGTATTGCTATCCCAGATTTCCTTTTTCTTTTTTTTGTTTCCATTTTCATGAAATATCTTTTCCATCCCTTTACTTTCTGTGTGTGTCTTTCAGTCTGAAGTGAGTCTCTTGTAGGCAGCATATGTAAGGTCTTGTTTTCTGATCCATTCAGCCACCATGTATCTTTTGATTGAAGCATTTAATCCATTTTAATTTAAAGTAATAGTTGATAGATATGTAGTTATTGTCATTTTATTATTCATATTTTTTATTTGTTTCTTCTTCTTAAAGAAGTCCCTTTAAAATTTCTTATAATGCTGTTTTGGTGGTGACGAACTCCTTTAGCTTTTTCTTGTCTGGGAAGCTGTTTGTCCTTTGATTCTAAATGATATCTTTGCTGGGTAGTGTAATCTTGGTTGTA